ATGTAGTGGGTCTAGCACTGTGCGCCCACTAGGATTATTTATTCATTTCCTTCTGTGAGATAGGATTAGAAGGAAGACAAAGCAGGCTCAGACTTTAAAGGGTATAAAGGAAAACTTCATTAACATAAACTTAAAGAAAAAATGGTAAGAATCAGAATAAAACCTTCAGAACACTTCTCCCCCCACACCCTCTTTTCTTTCACACTGACAATGTACAGAAAACAAATCAGTCAGTTTACCATCTCTAAAAAGAATCTTTCTCCAGTTCATTTAGGGAGAGGAGTCTCTCTCATCATGCTATGGAGGCTTCTCCACAAGAAACAGTTCTCTCGTAGCAAATCAGCCACCTGGGAGAATGGAAATCTGATCACAGTGTAAAAGTCCCTCTCCTCGACTTACAGCTTTCCCCACAACTGTTTTCAAGGGTTCAATCTTTAGCTAATGGGATACCCTTTTGAGGACGAGTTGTTCAGAAGCAATAGCTCTCTTCATCTACCTCTGAGATCATCCTCAGCTCTGGGAACAGAGGTCTTCTTCTCCCGTGGGGGCAAAGGGTCTTCATCACTCTTGTCTCTCTCTGTTCAAACTTCTCATGAGATCACATCTACTTCAACTTCTGCTTGTTCAGCATGGATGCCTTTGCTCATGTCTGCAATGTGAATGCTCCACCCCCTCATGCTTCTTCTATGACTTATAAGGATATTCAGTATATCATAGTCCATCACCATAGCTTACAAGAGATTTTCAGCTTAAGGCATCTCCTCATCTTCCTATCCCATCTGGGACCTGACTCTTCCTTCATGTCTGACCTCAATGTCTCCATGTTGTTTCTTTGCATGTCTTCATCTCTGTCCTTTTCTTTCATTTAAGGGAGAGAATCGATGTTTGCAGGTTTCATCTGCAGAGGGACATGTGATCCCTGACAAGTGATGGTCAGAGCTGCTTACAATGGTGAATTTTTTGGTGGCCATGCTGGGGGCCTGGGCCAGGATAGCAGAGGCCCAGTGAGAAACGGCGGTGGCTGCTCTGGCTACAGGGCTGGTTTTTGGCTTTTGCTGCATTTAATTCCAGCCATGGGCTGATGGTCTTCTCTCCCCCTGCCCAGCAGCCGCAGCATAGGAAGCCTGGCCCGGCCCATAGCTGCTCCTGGGGCCCGGTGGTTTCTGGTGAGACTCAGCAGCAGCAGCAGCAGCATTCCAGCCGAGCCGTGGGCCAGTCTGGCCACACTGGGGAGAGGGAAGCATCCATGATCTCAGTGGCTGATGGCCTCCCCTCGCCCTGCCTGGTGGTTTCTGGCAAAACTCAGCAGTGGCAGCATTTCAGCCGTGCTGAGGGCCCGCCTGACCATGCTGGAGGTGAACTTGGCCCAGGCAGCACTGCAGCAGAGGCAGGGCCCAGCTCGGCCCAGCCCGGCCTGGCCCACGGGCCGCATGGGCCCGGCCCGGCCTGACTAGTTACCTGCTGAGAAGCCAGAACCAAAAGAGAGATTCCCAGGGCTTTTTCATTTTAAAATGTGTGTTCACAGAGGCGTGTTTAACTTTCTCAGTGGTATAGCAGGCTGTTGGTTCTCAAAACCAATCACTGATTGGTTTTTGTCAGACATAGAGGAAACTCTCAGCAGCTCCTCTCAGAAAAGTCACTTTCATTGGTTGGCTTCAATGCAGAACCAGCACACCCATCCAGTTTAATGATACCAGAGAAATAAGCAGCAGTAGCAGGAATTCTGCTTCTGATCTACAACAGGTCCAGAGCTCATAGAAATTAAATGGCAGCATCAGGCCTATACTTTGGATTTGGGCTTTTATTGCTGAAGAAGATTTTTTGGACACAAAAATCTTCTCAATTTCTTCATTCAGAAAATCTGACAGTAAGACAGGAAAGTAAAGAACTTATAGAATGATCAGTCTCTTAAAATACATATATAAAGCTACCATATGCATGACAAAATAGGGCGCAGTGCATTATGACCCACAGACCTGATAAGGAGAAATTGTTACACCCATTTGAGCTTTTCGGGACCCACTTTCAGTCATCAAAACCAATGACAAAAGCTAATGAAAATACAAAAGATTTTCTAAATTAACAATTTCCCCCTACCCAGAGAACGCTGTTCATCTGGAATGTCAGAATGGTATAAAGGGGAAGCTTGGGATCAGTACCAATGGCAGCTGATGGGCTGGAAGGTCTGTGGATGCTTCCCTATAACTAGGAGACATAACTAACTCCAGTGATGGCATTAATCACCCTGTCACCATCACTGTACATCCTCCTGCTGTGTGACACAACACCCTCTCAAGGGACGCTGTGCTCCTACCCTGAGCCAGTTATATTAAAAGGAGGTTGGGATGGCCATTCTCCAGGACACAAGGTCATTCCTACTGAATCCAATCATCCCATGCAGTGAATCACTGCCTCTGAGTCCTTGGCCTAAAAATGTTTTCAGGTAGACTCAGGTTGATGACCTTAGTCAGGTGACCTTAAAGAAATTTCTAAAAGACAACACTATCAGTCAACAAATTATGACCCACTTGCACCTACATATGCCTCTCCATGGGGTTGCTGCTTTTGCAAGAGCTGCCATGTGATGCAGAGGAGGGTTTCAGCCGTCCCCATGCCGGGCACACCAGGTCCCAGCATACCTGTAGAGGCAAGCAGGTGGCACCTTTTCATCTGAGACACTCGTGATGGGCCATCCTGACCTACTCTGTGACACTCTCTGCTGTGTTGACTCAGCCTTACACATGGACATTTCCTCACAGAGGCACTTGCACAATAACAACCTCTACAGCTGGCAGCACCCACACTTGCCCATTTATTGGGAAGCTCATTTTTAACTTTGGAAATGCTGCTTGCCTGGCGCATAAAAGAACACCTCCTCATCACCCCCCCCAAAAAAAAAAAACCAACCAGCCACACAAGAGCTCCACCTCAACCCTTGACAAGGATGTGGGAGAGTTCCATGCCCAGGTGATTGCCCGACTTTGCCCACACATGACACGCAAGAGCTTCCGCTGCACTTTTCTCAAGGAGAGCCAGCTCAGCCTGGAACACCCACCCATGGACCACCCCATCCATGTGCCTTGTCCTCAGCTGCCTGGTTGGGAAACACCTGACTTGGCCAGCCCCATTCTCCCAGGGCTGAGATAAGAATGACAAGGATTTACAGCCCCACTGAGCTGAAAGGGGAACAGTTTGCATGCCTGGCTCCCAGCTCACAGCCCGACTCAGCCACAGGGGCAGGATTAAGCTTTAGGAATTCCCACTCCCAGTCCACAGTCACCCGCCCAGCCTGTGCATGGTCAGGGCTGTTGCCTCGTGCCCCACTGCAGAAGAATGGTGAAACACAGCCTTTATGCTGTTGTGATTCATCTAATCTTCAAGATTTATGGGGCACAATAGATCAGTAACATAAATTTTACAGAGACCTTTCATTTGTTAAGCAATCCATTCCCACCTCTGGGAAGAGAGATGTTTCACTAAAAGCAGAGTCAAGTTTTCTGGTTTGAGCCTGCAACTGAGTGCTTGAGTTTCATACCCCGTGCTTTTCAGCTCAAAGCTCTGAAACAGCAAAGCACACAGAGACTCAAACCCTCTTGTTCACCCAGGACAAGAGCAGCAGCAGCAGCAGCAGCAGCCAGAAGAGCTTATTGCCAATGTCCCTGTAAGGCAAGGGAATGACTTCAGGGTTTGACCCAGCATATATATCTGCTCATCCCTGACATGGCAAAGATTCTTAGTTTTGCTAAGTGAGAAGAGATTAGCTTCAGATTTCTATTTCAGAACTGAGGGAATAGCAAGTGATCTGGTAATCTGGATCTATGAAGCGACAACACCCTATCTATAGAGCAACCTAGAGAATTTACACTAATGAAGCTTAATTCATTACCTGCTTTTCTTCCAAACTTACTTGCAACGTTTCCCACAAATTTTGATTAATTGTCATGGTTACATGCATGGAACAACTTATTTGCACATTTATTAATCAGCTTTAGTCCCAATACATCAAGAGTCAGATACCTTGTGTCATGCTCAGACGTTATTCCACATTATCCCTTGATGGTGCTATGGAAAAATGAAGGCACATACATCACTATTTGTCATTCCAGTCTAACAGCCAAGCAGCCTTTAAATAAGGCCGTCATGGCATGAGAATATCTTTGCTACTGTGAAGTCAAACAAAGCTTAACTTAGCACCTGAACAGCTGAAACTAGTCTAGATTTAATGGGAACACTCAAATCACCTGCCTTAAGACTTCTTGCTCCTCTGTAGTGCTCTGGCACCATTGATCTGGGATCATGTCCTCAATGGGAACACTCAAAATAAATGTGTTTCTCCATCAAAAACGCCCCTGTAAGAAACAAAAAGGGTGTTGGTGAATCACAGTGCCCTGAGAGTGTCATCTAGCTCTTTGGGTTGCCTGGTTTATGGAAAGGGTAGAACAAGAAAATGATTTTGATTTATAACCACTATCAGTTTGCTGTTTTGCAACAAACACGGCCCAACCAGCTCCATGATATTCAGAGGTCTCTTGCACCACATGTTCAAATATTTGGCTCCAATTTCTGTATGTGAAATGAGCAATTTGGGCAACCCTTAAAAAGAAATACTTAGAGGACTTGGAAAATTAATAGGATCCCAGTTCCAAGACAGATTAAAAAAAAAAAAAGGTAAGAAAATACTCAGTACATATTTCTATGGCAGGAAGTTTTACACCCACTATTTCCCATGACCATGTCCCTGATATTCTCCAGTGACTGGGAAGGAACAGCATAACAAAGGAACCCTCACCTGAGAATCTGGCCAGACACATTTTTAAGGAGACTGACATATATCCAAATTGCTTTCTGTGGGTCAATGACAAGCTCCATAATTACCATGTGTATTTTGATCTTCACTGATAGTCACCAGCTACAGGAAATTACACACTGTGCTGTGCCTGCTGCAAGTTTATCCCTTTACTATCCTGTTATTAACTGTTCTCCCTTTGGGACTTGCAGCATCTCCTACTCCAGCCACTGAAATGGAAGAAAATGCCAACACCAGCTTGGAAGAAGACTTTGAAGGACAGGCAACACACACAGGCAAGGAAACTAACTGGGTTTTCTTCCCAAAAAATAAGTTAAATTGTCAGTGTTCACTGGGGAAGCCCAGAATTCCTGTTGTTCCAGTGGCCAAACCTCTTGCACAAAAACACTGGTTCCAAAGGCAATGAGAAGGTATTTTGGGGCAAGTGACAGCCCCCATGGAGGGCAGGTAACACCAAACATTGTGCTGCTCCTCCTCAAACCTGAAACAAAGGGCAAACGCAGGGGACACTTGACAGAGCCACCAAGAGCCATGGCCCAACATGGCTTCTGTTGGTTTATTGCCTCACTCCTGCGGTTTATTGCTTCACTTTGCTCTCCGGGGGAAGAGAGAAGACAACAAAAGAGCAACAAAACCCACACTCCCACTTTAGAATTAGGTGATAGCATTTCACTGGAAAGGCAAAATGATTTTTTTCTTCTTACAGAAGGAACACTGCGCTAAAAATGCCCCTTGCGGCAAACACAGCACAGCATTTAGAAGCTTTAAAAGAGGTCACTCTCAAAATGATCATTCTTTTTAATCCAGTGCTCCATCACCAGGATTTTTATAAGTGGTGATACTGTGTTCAGCTCTACAGCTTTTCCACCCCACTGCCAGGTAACAGGATGCCAATCATTGCCTCCTTCTGCTCCAAGGGCTTCTTTTCCTTGGAGCTATAACGAGTGCAGTTCTTGTAATAACTCTGGGGTGCTTTCCCTACCAGCCTTGCTGCTGTTGGCCAAGGTTATGATATATACACAGGTTGGATGGAGGTCTGAGCAACAAAGCTAGTGGAAGGTGTCCCTGCCCATAGCAAGGAATGGAATGAGATGAGCTTTAAGGTCCCTTCCACCCAAACCATTCTATGAAAAATACATACATACATACATATAAATATATAAATATATATATATATATATATGCACACATATACACATACCGCATCTCACTTTCATCACATCTTCCTTGTGAAAATGAGGGCTGCTTACTCGGCCTTTTCTAAATTTTCCATAGGAAACTTCACCTCTGAAAACACTGAAATATTCTTTGGTTTTGCTTTATAATCTGAGATGTAGTTTTCATTTTGAAAAACAGCACTGGAATTTTGAAATTTTTTTTTCCCCTATTTCAAAATTTAAGCAGGTTAATCAAGCAGCTCCAAAGACCGAGATCCGCATTAGAATTATAATAATCATTTGCCTTATGGGTTACTCTTCCAGTGCAACAGGTATTGTTTGGTGTTTTTAAAAATAATCTCAAATATCCTGCATTCTTGGTTTTACACTGAGTCCTTATGCACATTTAATATTTAAATTTTAATAAATATTTAATTTAATATTTAAATACTCTGTTTATAAAGAAATCAAATATTTGTCTACAAAACACCACCTTTGGCCAACATGGCAGTTTTATCATGTTTCAGCATCCTCATCCATATTAACTGCTCATGTAGTTCACCAAAATCCTTCCAAAGTATCCTGATAGGAACTAGATCATCAAAGAGATGCAGGTGAGAAAAACCCTCTTTCTTTCTTTCTTTCTGGGACACCAAAAGCTCTGGTTCTCAGCACTCCTGGAGAGTTCTTTGGAAAGAGTAGGGACAGATAAAATCCAGGCACAGAATGACAAACCAGCAAAGAACATAAACTTCTCAGGAAACCTCTTGTTGCAGCCACTTTCTCAACCAACTTCATCTCTCTTAGGGCCCAAAGGTGTGATCAATGACTGGAGGAAGTTCAAATTAGAGAGTGAAGATGGAGATTCCTTACCCCTGAGTAAGAAAGAAATGCTTAGACAAATGTCTTCACCTCACAGATCTTTCAGCAGAGATGATAAAGACACCAGAGAGAGATTCTGCCGTAAGGTAAGAGAAGCAAAAGGAATTGACTTTGGCTCCATATAAAACATGCCTGGTTTAAGGTAGAAAATCCTGAATTTTCAACTCAATTTCTGTGTAACTTAGCAGAACTTTCACAATGCAGACAGAACACATATGCGAAACAATGGAGCTGGGGAGGGGGCTGGAGCCCCAGGAAGGGCTGAAGGAGCTGGGAAAGGGGCTCAGCCTGGAGAAAAGGAGGCTCAGGGGAGCTTTCTGGCTCTGCACAATGCCCTGACAGGAGGGGACAGCCAGGGGTTGAGCTCTGCTCCCAGGGAACAAGGGACAAGATGAGAGGAAACGGCCACAAGTAATTCCAGGGGAGGATTAGATTGGATATCAGGAAAATTTCTTCCCCATAAGGATGGTCAAACATTGGAAGGGGCTGCCCATGCACTGATGGCATCACGATTCCTGAAAGAATAAAAAAAATAGGAATTTGGTGCTCAGTGACACAGAGGTAGATTGGGCAGTGCTGGCTTAATGGTTGGACTTGATTATCTTAGAAGGCTTTTCCTACCTTAATTAGCAGCTCTGTGATTCTCTTTATCCAATCCTACCTCAAGCAAAGGGTAACTTCAGTAAAACCAGCAGTGTATTGCACATCTATCACAGCACAGCTTGACCTTTCTGCCTTCCTTCCTTCCCTGCCACAATGCTCTATCCTTGGTTAATGCAATGGAAAATTTTCAGCAGGTTTAAAAACCTATTAGTCAGGATAGAGCTCTGAGCCTGAACATCACTCATGACCATTTACTAATTCTGAAACAATGGGAAACCAAACCCCAATAACACAGGAATTAAACCTGCCCCACTATTGGCATAATTTCCACCAACTCTGGGAGATCCATAAATTTTTGCCAAATGTGGCCACTGCCACATCATCGTGTATCATCATGTTGACAGGCAAGTGTTGAAACAGGATCTCCACCGGTCTCTCAACAAGACCTCCCGGAGTCACTGTAGGGAGTGATGGTTCCTCTGGCTCAGCTTTTGCTGCTCTCCAGACAACAGGTGTCCCCATTTCAGCTCCATGGGGTTCCCAGTCACTAACCTCACTCTCTGGATATCCACAGATGAGCATGCAGGAGTACGAGTTGATTCACGCCACGCAGGAGGACGAAAGCTGCCTACAGCAGTACCGCAAGCGCTGCATGCAGGACATGCACCAGCGGCTCAGCTTCGGGCCCAAGTTTGGCTTCCTGTGCGAGCTGCAGAACGGGGAACAGTTCCTAGAGGCCGTGGAGAAGGAGCACAAAACCACCACGGTCATCGTGCACATTTACGAGGACGGCGTCAAGGGCTGCGAGGCCCTCAACAGCAGCCTGACCTGCCTGGCAGCTGAGTACCCCACTGTCAAGTTCTGCAAGATCAAGGCCTCCAGCACGGGTGCCGGGGATCGCTTCTCCAGCAATGTGCTCCCCTCCCTACTGGTCTACAAGGCAGGGGAGCTCCTGAGCAATTTCATTAGTGTTTCTGAACAGTTCAATGAGGAGTTTTTTGCTGTGGATGTGGAGGCTTTTCTAAATGAGTATGGGCTGCTACCTGAGAGGGAGCTTCCAGCGCTGGGAAATGGCACGGATGAGCCAGATGTTGAATAATTAGAGTCAGAGTCCTCACTGCCTCCCTTTCCTCTTCATTCAGCTGTAAATGAATGTCAGTAACATCCATCCCACTTAGAGAAGGCTGTCTTTGCTGACTTACTTCTAACAAATGAAGATATAAAAATTGTTTAATTGTTAGCATGTGAATTCTACTTACAACACATACGGCTGGCAGTCTTGTACATATTTCTATGCCGGCCACAAGTAATAGGAAGAACAGCAGTGATATTTAAGAAATATAGGAAAAACAAATTCAAAACTGAGGACCCACGCCTGTCTAGAAAAAGCATAAGTCCTTCATTTCAGTGGGGACAGGAATGGTCCATCTCTCTGTGCACACAAAAAGCCATCTCCATGCTCTGGAGTTAAGCAAGTCCTGGCTCCTGATTCACTTATACCAACTTTGGCAAGAACAAGCAATTTTAAGGGCAGACAAATAGCCCAAAGTCCTTCCATTCTTAAATGGCTCAAGTATCTAGGTCATTATTTTATTCCACATTTAATACTCAATACTGATGCAAAGAGAGAAGTTAGATCAGTGCTTCTGTAAGTTTTTCACCCAAAGAGCTGACACAGACACAGCATTGAGCACAGATGAGCAGCAGCATTTAAAATGCCTGTGAGTTTCTGGAAAAGTATGTTATGTTTATGTAATAACTCTGAATAAAGCTTATTAGCTCTCAAAACCTGCCATTGGAAGTATGAAATATATTGGTAGTACATAACCTTACCTTTAAAAACATATGAAATACTAGTAAGTACTCACTAGATATTTACTAGACTCAAAGTTCTAAGTTTTGTTAAAGGGAAGCTGCTGAGAACTACAGTTTAACAATCTGACTGAGAGAAAGACATGGGGTAAACTCACTATAAACACTCCTCTCTGATACAAAACAACAGAACATCAGAAGTACTTCAGTGACTTCTGCACACTGACAAAGCTAAAGCTGGATTTGACTGGGGATGGAAGTATCTGTATCTTACTAAAAATCTTAACAGCACAGATTATCTGATAATATTTGAGATTATCAAAGTGTTAAAAAACGATTTTTCTTTTTTTTGGTCTTTTTAAGGAACTATCAAAATTGCTACTTTTAACAGTTTTGCCATGGATCACTACTTTAACAGAGGTCCAGAAACCTCATGTCATGTACACTAAGCAGTACAAATTAATTTCCTTATCTCTCATACAATCTTCTTTAACCTATAAAATAATTCATTACTTTATTACATCAAGAATTCAATTAGTATATTCCCAAGATGTCATGATATCCATGTTAGAAATCGCTGAGTGAGAGATTGCCCCAAGTCTTTCTGATGGAACTCCAGAGGAAATAATCTTTTCCCTTAGAGCAGTCCTCTCTCCCCTTACTGAAGCATGAAGTTGACCCCTCAGGTAGTCACTTTCATCCTAACATTTCATTTGTCTCTTCAGAATATTTGCAGATCGACCATTTGCAGATACACCCAACAGCATGAAAATCTAATGATCTTACAGGAGTTTAGGTAGAAAATAATTATCTTTTGTCCATCACAAAATTAATTTGTTACACCAAAAAAATCTCCATGTAAGTTGTGGGAAATTAACTTCTGTGAGAACTTTCCCTCTATCCAACTTGGTTTAAAAGCTATTAGGCTGTACATCAGCAGCCTCATCACATAAGCTTCATTTTTTTGAGAACAAGGCTGAAAGCAAAAAACCCCAACAATAACACCACAGAAGCTGCACCTGTAGCTACTCTAAGAAGTAAGATGAAACTCCAATTTAAGAGACAGATTAAATGTGCTTAAGCAGGATTTTCTTCAACCTGTAATTTAAAAACCAAAATCAAAGAGCAAACATGTGGCACCAAGCCTCAACAGAAGCTCGTGACTAATGAAGTTGCAAATAAAATTCTGATCACAGCATTTATCAGTTTATACAAGAAAAAACCCCAACCTTAAAAACAAAAAGCAAGATTTGACTCAAACATTTATTACTGTATGAAGGTTTCTGAGTAACAAACAGTAAATGCTTCAATAAGCACATGGGAACAGCCTTCCTGCTACCCTGGGGTGTGGTTACTCTTCTTTTTGATTCAAAGTCACAGAGACCCTGAGTCCCCAAATAATTCTGATGGAGCAGAGGAGGGAACAAATTATCACTGGTGTCACTGCTGCTCAGACTGAGAACAAAGCCTCTGGTAGATGCCAGTGTCCTGCTGTCAGCTGGGACAGTTCTTTTTCCTCCCAGCAGCCTGGACAGGGCTGTGTGTTGGATTCAGTACAGAATCATTTTGATAACACACTGATGCTTCAGTTGTTGCTGAGCAGAGCTTACCCCAAGTCAAGGACTCTGCAGTGTCCCAGGCTCTGCCAGCGAGGAGCTGCACCAGAAGCTGGGATGGAGCATGGCCAGGACAGCAGATCCCCTGGGCAGAGGGATATTCCACACCATGGCATGCCATGGCCAGTGTGCCAGCTGGGGCAGGTGGCCAGGAGGGGCTGAAGGCTGCTGGGGCACGGGCTGGGCAGCAGTGGGTGGGTGGTGAAGGACTGCACTGTGATCACTCATCTGTATGGCTTGTACTGCCCTCTCTCTTTTTGTTATCTCCCTTTTCATTATTATTATTACTACTATTACTATTATATTGTACTTTATTTCAATTATTAAACTGTTCTTATTGCAACCCAAGAGTTTTATCTTTGTTCCAACCCTCCTGCCCCTTGCCCCAGAGAAGTGAACAAGCCCTGTGTGGTCCTTAGTTGGCAGCTGGGGTCAAACCATCACAACCTGTCACAACTTATCACACCAAATGCTGCCCTCAGATGTGAGGAATTATAAACCTCAGTGATCAAGACCACTGAGGCTTTTAAAACTACATTTTAAAACCCTATTGCATAGAAAATAATGATTTTGTAAAACTATTTAGAAGGACCTGATTTTCAGATGTAGAAGTCCAAACCATTCCTCTGAACTCTTACATATTAAAATAAATATTTATCTGCAATCATGGACATGAGCTAACAAAGCTCAGTATCAATCACAGTGGAGTTTTCTCAGACTGAAAGCTGTGGAGTATTATACAGGAAGGAAAAGGATAAACCTACAATAAAACCTGAGCTAGCTATGCAGTAGTCAGGAAATAGATTTTTTTTAAAGGCTGTTTCCCTTTTCCTTACACAATTTTAATTTATCCCAAAGCCCTCATTTTCTTATGCTATCAGTGGTACAAAATGGTACAAGAAAGGATGGGACAATGAACTCCCCTCTTGGTTAGTCCTGTAATTCTTAGACAAGTGAGAACTCGCTTTCTTCAACATCCCCTATATTTCCCCATGGCAGGATGACTGGAAGGCTCAATCTGTAGGTACAAGTCAAATTACTCATTTTTTCTTTGATGGGGTTGATTAATTTCTTATTGCACAGATGCTACTTCAAGTCTCTCCTATATCATACCTAAAATCTCCACCAGAGCAACTTCTTTCTTCGCCTTCTTCCAAACCCAAATTGGAAAATTAGATCCCCCAATACCTAGTTAGTTCTAAACAGAAGGATTCATTAGACCATGACCTCAAAGAAAAGGATCATTTACTAAGCACTGAATAAACTTGCAGAGAGGAAGAGAAAAGAGGAAGAGTTTTTTGCAAGAGGATCCCTGGAATAATACATCCCAACAAGCTCCATTTTTGACACCACATGTACTAAACAAGAATGACTATAGGAAGAGTGTTTCAGGACAATTTTCTTCTCTGGTGTCAGAGATGCTCTACTTCACTTCTGTGGCTGAGTTTTGTGTAACAGGCAACTAAAGAACAATCATTTTGTATTTTACCTCCAAAAGCACACCCTATTCTCAAAAAAAGAGCCAAAAGGCAGCACTGTTCTACTAATTACACCCCTATTCCTCCTTCTAACAGAGACTGTAGCACAGCAATTTTTAAACCAACCATATTCTGAAGCATGTTACAAAATTACTCCCATTTTCTCAATAACCCTCAGCCTCCCCTGGATGTCATCCTACCTCCTGATTCCTGCTTCCACTCACTGGCACAGAATAAAAAGCAACTATAAAGCCCACAGCAGCTGAACCCAGTGCCTCCATTAAAATACTCACCACCTTCCTCCAGGAGGCCCCACTTGAGCAATGTTGAGCACAGAAGATCAACACTGTCTTTCAAAATATACTTAAAACACTAAAAGCAGCTCTTTTTTTCGAAACAGGTAAAAACAGAATACAGAGGTGAGGTAACAGTAGTCAAGACACCTTTCTGAGAGTTGCCTTTAATAAAGGTATTCCAGTACACACTTGATTATGCTTTAGAATCAAAGTTTAATTTTTTTTGTGTTCCACTGCCTTCAAACAAAAAAAGAAACTTGCATTGGTATTAAAATGCTTTTAATTCTTTTCTGTTGCAGTTCAGATCCATGTAAGCATCACATTTTATATACAAATTATCTTTATTAGCCTTACCAGAATTCATTCTCTCCTTCCACCTTTCTCATGTCAAGTAAACATGTAACTGGCCAACATCCCCAGGAGAATCTCTCATAATGGAAAGCTCTCTGTCTATAATCTAAAAATCCTGATTAGCAATAATTTTGAAAATTTGCCTGTATTTACAAGATAACCCACAAGGCCTGCCTAGGTGTAACTGTTGCTGAAATAGTTAAAATTCCAAGCTAACAATGATTGTATTGGAGCTGGAGACAGAAATCCTCATCAGGAGGCACTGAGTCAAAGGCAGCAGCATACACACAGCTCAGCAATGCCATGCATTTCATTCATTTCTGAGTTCTCCAGTCTTGAACTAACCTATCTACAGGCTGCCTTGGTCTAGTCTTAAAACTTTCAGAAACTATTTGTATGCATTTTATGCTAGTTAGCCAGTATTATCTAAAACAATGCATATGGTGAAATGCTGGCTTTACTAAAACTAATTTTCCCCCCAATTAACTGTAATAAAATAATATTTCCCTTAGCAAAGGAACACTTAAAGCAGGAGTTGTCATACCAAGTCATTATGCAGGTTTTACCAATACCCTGAGAAACACCAGGAGTAGCATTTT